CCTGTAGAGGTCGTAGCTGTAGGAATCCTGAAAGGTCAAGGTCGTAGCTGCTACAGTCCTGAAAGGTCAAGGTCGTAGCTGCTACAGTACTCGAATGTCTTACGTAATTTCTCTGCTAAATTTGCCAACGTCTGGGCTGACTGGGTTAGCATACTGACCGGCTGGGAGAACCTGTCTATGGGGGGCCCACCAAAAGGGAGGGTTCAACAGTGCCCAAGCTGGGGGCACAGCAGGCAATCATAGGCTGTGGTTCCCGACAGTACGGTCATAGGGATTAGTTAGGTAGACCTTTTCGTGGGTTGGTTGCATGTTTGCTTTTGCCTTTTGTTTTCTGTTTTTTTTGAAGTAGTTCGGCCTCCGTGACTGTGGCCCTTTGAAGCCCTTTTTTCGACGTTTTCCTGGCTGGCCGTCTCTACTCGGTATCTGGCTCTCTTTTCTTCTTACGGGAGCTTCTGGAAGTGTCTTCTAATCTGATCCACCTCCCTCCCCTCTTTGGCACCTTTTTCACGGCTACCCTATTCTGAGCTTGGTCGGACACTACTTATTGCCTTGTTTCTAGTCTTTCGGTCCCTTCCTGGCGAGTTGTACACAGACCCCTGACGATTCCGGGTGGCGTCCGTATGAAACGCAGCGTAGGGTCGGTCCGCCGATCTTTGACGATTATTCTTACGATGTACTTGGCCATTATTTGCATTGTAATATTTTCCGGCTTTATGGTCGCGTTTCGGGAACTTCAAGAGACTCTCTACGCTTTCTTCTCTCTCCCCTCTCTCCYTCTCTCCCTCCTCTCTCTCTCTCTCTCTCTCTCTCTCTCTCTCTCTCTCTCTCTCTCTCTCTCTCTATTTCCGATGCCTGTGTCATTTTACGAATTTTGCACGGTTGACTTTACTCACCAAGTCCACAGACTTCCGGAAGTGGTCTTTCGAAGCTGCCTCACGTTTCAGTCAGAGGCAAGTGGGCAAGTGGTGAGCCCAGCTGCGTTACGTCGGCAGTGCGACTGCATTGAGTTGGCAGTGCAAACCCATGCAGTCCGCGGTACCGGTCCAGTCAGTCCCAGTCCAGTCAAGCAAGTGCCATGAGGGACTATGTGCACCATGGGCCGATCGAAAGGGGCAGACCAACGAGTTACAGAAGTATAAATCAAGAGGCAGCGCCCAGCCATTCATTCATTCCTGCGTAAGCCATGTGGAAGCGCTGCCACAGCGACGTGTGCGAGGTGGTCTGCAGTAGGCCCGAAGACGAAGAGGGCGAGAAGGAAGTTAGCCATAGCGATAAGGTTGCAGCGGCCATAGCCGCCATAGCTGTAGATGTGTGCGGGTGTGTGTGAGGGTACACAGTGTGTTGCGTGTGGGATATCCAGGATGATCCTGTGTGCGAACAGCAGTGTTGAGTAAGTGACGAACAGAGAGTTGTACAGGCGATGTGCCGCCATAGCCATTTGAAGTGAACTTGTATCTGAGCCGCGTTCTTGGTTACTATATCTCTGAGTTCTGAGTGGGCGCTTGACGCCAGTTTGCTGCGCAACCTGTTTGCATGCAAGTGAAGTGTGAATGAAAGCGAGTCTGATTGCACTGGTATCGGAGTTGGTACCCGCTATCCCATGCGCCATCGCCGTTGCAGCAGGAGAGAGACGCGCGTCGTAGGGCGCCACAGTTGAAGAGCGCCACTGTGAAGAAGAAGTCCGCCATAGCTTCGCTGCGGAAGAAGGTGCCGTGTACCTGCAAGGAAGACAACAACGAGGAAGAGAGAGAGAGCGAGAGAGAGAACTGAGTGATACAAGATTGGTTCGCTACGCACGTGCGCTGAAGATTTTCCCGAAGAGAGAGAGGGAGGAGTAACGTAAGATTGGTTGTGCAGTCCAAGACGAAGTAGCGGCCATAGCCGCGGAGCTCGGGACACGGAGGAGAGAGGAAGGTGAGGTAGAGAAGGGAGGTTGGCGAGGAAGAAGGTGCCGACAGCCATAGCCGACCTAGAGGTTGACTGGGCGTTGACCAGAGGGTTGATCGAAGCGTTGACTGGGGTGTGACCGCGTTGACCAGAGGGTTGACCGGAGCATTGACCGGGATGTGATCGCGTTGACCAAGCGTTGACCGGAGCGTTGACCGGGGTGTGACCGCGTTGACCATGCGTTGACCGAGGCGTTGACCGGAGCCGTTGACCACGGTTTTGACCAAGTTGGAGTTGGTATAATCTCGCCAAACCCTTAGCCTATCCCCTTGCCCTATGGATGTGCACTCACCCTATGGTACTTGATAAGTCTGAGTCTGTCTATCTCTTCTTTCTGCATTGAGTCTCTTCTGTTCAGGTGATAGGACTCCGTGTATGAAGGATAGGGCCTCATTGACCAAACCCACACGGGCTGAGTAGGGCTAAAGACTGTGTCTGACGACTCGACTGTCCCCTAGGACACGAACCCTCCCAAGGACCGGTACTGACCGGCGGGCTGCTCGGTGTGGCACGGTAGGCCCAAAATCCGAGTTGTGGGCTGCACATCGGGTCGTCTAAGTCTTGAGAGGATCTGCTGACCGCGTCGTCCTGTTTGCAACGTTAAAGAATTCCTGAGGAGTTACGGGGGATCTCCTTAAATGCCTCCTGGTCAGCAACAGATCTTGTAGTGACGGCTGTAGTATTAGAGTCTAGGCTACAGACCATAGTTGGCAGGGTTCCATACAGACCCTGTGGTCCATAGATTGAGTCGGTCTTAAGTTGAGTCAGTTAGGGGGAGAGTCTAAGTGGTGAGGAGTGGAACCATCACTTGGTTGTGCGTCTATCACCATGGTTGAAACGTGTACTGGAACGAGCACCTCCCCTTACACAGCAGAGCAGGATGCGAAGACCGCCGCCATCTTGAAAGAGAGAAGAGAGCGGCGAAAGAATTGGAGGAGGTGAAGAAACAAAGAGAGCAGATGGCGACGCAAGTACACCTACTGGGGAAGATGGAGATTATGGCGAGAAATATAGAGCGTCTGGCCCAGGTCCAGGAAGAACAATATCTGTTTGGTAGAGGTCAGGACATTGCCTTACGCTCTATACGGTTGGGGCTCAAGGACTTTGCAAGGGAATTGGCGACGCAGGTGGGCTCAGAGGTGAGGGCCCGCCTAGAGAACACGAAGCGTTATTGCACGGGCGCCATAGAAGGCGCCAGACTAACTGCTCCCAAAGAGGAGGAAGTACGTCCTCGAAGGGAGCCTGTCAAGGTCAAGTTCCCTGACTCCTATAGTGGTAAGAAGGAGGAGAACTTTGACAAGTGGGAGGCTAACATTAAGACGTACGTGCACCTGCAGAAAGTTGCCCCAGACGAGCATGTCCTAATAGCTATTCACGCTCTTAGGGAAGAAGCAGCAAGCTTCACCCGTTCCCTGTGTCACGCCGCCAACTGCAACGATGACTTAGTTGCATATTCAACATTCACCCCTCTCAACGATTTTCTTAAGTTATTGAGAGACCGGTTTGCAGACGTTTCCCGTAGTGTTAAAACTTCAGACAAGCTGCAAACCATCCATTCTCGCCAATGGAAGAGTGCTAGGTCACTCAAAGGTGTGATGCACGAGCTAGTTGTCGTTCCTGACCATGGGGTCACTGAGACCCAATTGGTCAACCTCTTCTACCGCGCTATGCCCGAGCAGTTACACGGGCATTTCTTTGAAAAGAGTCAGTAGCCTACCATGACCTACGATGCACTGAGCAGGGAAGTGCATTTGAAGCACGGTCCGCGTCAGTTTCCACTTTCTGGCACAAGGACCTGGACAAAGGCAAAAAGTGGAAAGGTCGCACCATCTCAGGACAGGTCAAGACCAAGGATCGCCTGATCCTTACCTTAGATGAGGGTGGTGTACACGAAGTCCCCTACGAGCAGATTGAG